TACCTTTTTTAGCTCCTTGCTGCTGTCACCACAGACATGTCATGCTTCTGGTGAACTTAGGAGGTCGTCCTTGGATATAAAAGTAGGAGATCTCAAATATTGCAGACAACTCCGGAGGCAATCCTTGAGAGAGATGAGATCATGGAAAATCAATGGAAAGTGGTGGGAGTTGGGAATGGACACAAGCAAGGAAGTATTTGTTCAATTCCGGTCGTAACTAGAACAACTCAAAACATGAAGGGTAAACTTCCGACGTAACCAAATTAATGAGACACAGGCCGCACGGCACAACTACGGATTAAATTTGCAAACAATGCATGAACTGAAGTATGGGAGTAATGGATGATAATTCATATACTAACCAGTTTAGCAATGGATGGATGCTATAAAGGGGGATCTTCATGCATGCATGGGCAGCAACTTCAGGAACTGTGCTTGGACACAAAGAACTGGGTCTACAAGGCTAAGCTAGAAGAATGTATAAATCCAAGAAGAGCCCTACACATAAAGAAGATTAGAACAAGTGGGTTATTCAGACGGCACAACAGTGACTGCGGTGGAGCAAACAAAAAGATAACTACGGAAAGTAATGTAAATTTGTGGGTGGGAACTGGGATTGTGTACAAACAAGGAATTAAATCTTACCTTGGATTAGGTGTAGCCTTTGATTATAGGAATGATTCCTTTTAACTTGCGGCACTTCCTTTTTAGCTCCTCGCTGATGCCACTAAAAACTTCTAATTTCCATAGTGAACTTGTCAGGCCGTCCTTGGGCAGGAGATTTGACGAACGGACAACGCTCGATCACTAATTCTTGCAGAAGGGTTCAGAGGATGTCCTTGGGCAGCAACTGGACAGTCTCTGATCTGTAATCTCAAGCTTGGTTAGGCGCTGCAGCTTCTCTCAGTCCCGGAACTCATAGTCAGTTAATATTTCTCCCTTTTCAACTAGATACCACACAAAAACCACATAATGGATATAATTCTTTCCCTTGCAAATTTCCATTTCCCTTTCCTTTTGTTGGGAGTTACTACTGGATGTTGATTTCCAAATATGCAACACAACTATCAGACAAACAACCCTACACAATTAGAATTACTACTTTTGCTGTGAAAGAACATAAAACAACTACACAAACACCTCACATAAAGTCACAAGACTACCACACGTGCGGACACTGAACAGATGGAAAGCTTTACTCTCTTTTTTTAAAGCATTTCCTTTCTTTTCCTTTTTTCTTTTTTTTCTTTTTCCTTTTTTCCTTTTATTTTTTCCCTTTTCTCTTTTTCTCTTTTTTCTTTTTTCTTTTTCTTTTTTTCTCTTTTCTCTTTTTTTCTTTTTCTGTTTTTTAGCTTTTTTCGTAGAAGGAGAGAGCTCTCCAAGGCTATAAGAATGTACAACTCCAAGACTGATCCCTGCGAAGTAGATTGAAAGATAACATACATCATTCAGACTATGCAGTAACATGTAATCCAAAGTAAACCAAAATGTCTCAACGTGTGGGGTCACCATGGATTAACTTCCAAAGGGGTAAAGTGGTGTTCTTACATATACATACCATAGTTATGTAGGCGATGCCACACAAGGTCTTGGCGTCCAAAATTGTGCAAAGGTTCTTCAAAGGTAGAACAATTTTTAGAGCTCCATAGCAGAGGCCTGAATGGTAGATTGAAACTCACATTGTTCAGATTATGCGGTAAGCGAAACAGATAAAATGAAAATGTTGACGTGTGTGGGATCAGGAAAATGTGATGGAAAGTGGTGGGAGTTGGGGATGGATGCAAGCAAGGAAGCATTTGTTCAGTTCCAATAGTAAGTAGAACAACTGAAACATATGAAATGGAAACTTTCTCAGGTAACCAAAATAACAAGACACATCACAACAAATCGACGTGTTAAATTTGTAAACAGTGCTGAAGAAGTGGTGTACGGGAGTAGGGGATAATTATTCATATATATACTAACCATAACCAGTATAATAATGGACGGGTGCTATAATAATTTGAAACCTTCATGCTTTCAAGGGCAGCAACTTCATGAACTGTGCTTGGATAGAAAGAGAACTGGATCTATAAGACTAGGCTAGAAGAATGTACAAATCCGAGAAGAACCCTGCACATTCAGAAGATTAAAAAAGTGGGTTATTCAGATGGCATGGCAGTAACTGCGGTGAAGCAAACAAAAAGACAACTACTCTGATGCTTACTTACGAGATTAGTTATGGAAAGTAACGTGAATTTGAGGGTGGGAAAGTGGGGAATGAGTACAAGCCATCAAATGTCAGTTACCTTGGATTAGTAGTAGATGGCATAGTCTATGATGATTGGAATGGTTCCTTTTAACTTGCGGCACTGCCTTTTAAGCTCCTCGCTGATGCCATCAAATACTTGTAATTTTCGTAGTGAACTTGGCAGGCCGTCCTTGGGCAGAGATTTGATGGCCGGACAGTTTCTGATATATAATTCTTGTAGAGAACTTGGCAGTCCGTGCTTGGGCAGCAACTGAATGGCTGGACACCACCGGATCTGTAATATCTTGAGGCTGGCAAGCTTGGTTAGCCCCATAGGGAGGTGCTGCAGCTTCCTGCAGTGAGAAAACACAAGTTTCTGGAGGCTATTGAGGAGGTAAAGGGCCTCCTCTTGCTCCTCTGTTAAGCGCTCCACCTCTTCGTTGTAACAAAAGTTTAACTCAGTGAGGGCGGAAGAGAGGAGTCTGCAGATGGGCACAGTAAGGACTCCCGCCCAGTCATCTGTCGACAGATTTTCGAGTTTGGATGAAGAGGAAGGAATCTCTTGGTCATGCGGCCATGAGGGCTCTGAACCAGTGAAGAATTTTGGGGTTCCACAGATGTTTAATCGTGTGAGGTGGCCCTGGGCGATGAGAGGCCAGAAGCCCTCGCCTCTTAGATCCCCACAATCAGGCATGTATAAACTGGTGAGAGAGATGAGATTTGAGAGGGGAGCCAGCGTCTCCATGCCCTCCACGCGCCACACCATGAGTTGTTGCAGGGAGGTCGGGAAGGGGAAACAAGATGAGGCGCAGGACGAATAGGACGAGAGGAACCTGGGGCAACCAGATATGCCCAACCATTGGAGGGAGCAGAGACTCTGGAGCCCTCCTCCGTGTGTGCTGTCCTTGCCAAGTGAAGCAGAGAGTAACCGCAGCTCTTTGCATGCATCGATGTTCAACTCCTGTAGTTGGCGAGGTAGGAGCAGCAGACCTCCTCCTGCTGCTGCATCTTCTACCTCCTCTCCTCTTGTCTGATGGTGCCCATCTTGTGCATGCTCAATTTCAACTTCATTACCTGAAGATGATGGTGTCGTCATCTCCGTCTGAAGCACCGCCACACCAAGCTCTGTTATCTTCTCACAACTTCTCATTACTAACACAGTGAGCTTCGGGAAATAAGACAACAGTAGTGTCAGTTCCTTTCCATCAGTACCACAGTCCTCGATCCGTATATGTTCAACTGGAAGCGGGCATTCAGTATTATAGCCTTCACCTTCAAACAGCAGCAATGAGTTGCTCATACCGGTTATCCACAGGGACTTGAGAGATTTTAGCTTCTGGAGATGAATCAGTGGCAGGGGAGGGCACTTCGTCACCTTCAGGTCTTTCAGATCAGCTAGATTATGGAATGCCAGCCCATTCCACAACGCACCATGCTGACAGTCTTTTCCCTCAACTTTCAAACTCAATTCCGATTTGTAGTTCTTCGAGTACACTAGCTTCCCAAATACTGGTCCTGTTTGTTCTATCTCAACTGAGCATGGAGCTTTGGTCCAAGGAATTGGAGGCAATGACGCCAATTTGGGGCAGCGTATAATCTTGAGCTCCCGTAGTTTAGGAAACCAAGACATATTCTCGTCGTGCTTTGCTTGATAGCTACTAGGGTGTGAAAATGGCAATTCCACGAGTTCAGGGCAATCTATAAAGATGACCACCTCTAGAACAGAGAACAAATGACAAGGTTCGTTTCCAGCCCATTTTTGTAGTTTTGGTATGTTAACTATTTCCAGCCTTTTCAAAATATGGAAACTTTGGCTTGAGACATGACTCTGCCACTCTTCACCAGCAACGAACCCCAACTTCCCTAGAGGGGGAAGTGTGCTCCAAGATACGTCACATAGGGAAAGAGATTCTAAATTTTCAACTGAGAGGTACCTGCCCAACCATGATGGGCAATTAGCACCTCCATGTCCTCTAATGCATAGGTCTTGCAGATTACTGTGTGGTACGAGACTTTCAATGACATGTTCTTCTTGTTCTGCATTCTTGTTAGGTCCATCAATACACCATTCTAGTATTAACTTGTGCAAGTGGTTTTTGTGTATCAGTTTTAGTTCATTTGCCTCGTCTTTTTTCTGCACCTTTTCGAGATTATAAATGCCAAGTGATCCTCCAAGCTCTGTCAGTTCTCCTAGTTGACTTAGTTCAAAACCCTTGGTTTCTTTTCCCACTTCAAATCTCCTCAGTTCCTCTAGGAATTTAAGTTTCTCAACCTCGCATATGCTAGAGTGAAGTTTAAGACTATCTTCCGGCACACCAAAATGACGCAATTTTACAAGGCTGCTCATTTGACTTGTTGAACCAAAGCTGCCGCCCCAACTTTCTAGATCAATTACCTCTAAGTGATAGGATCTAAACAATGCACTAGGTAAGCACATGTCCTTATTACGAACTGATTTGATCCTTAGGTAGCGAAGATGGACAAGTTCTGAAAAGTCCAGCAACACAGCGTCCACAGAATATGATGCACCAGACAGAAAAATAGTGCGCAAGGCTCTAGCTTCCCTAAATAAACCCCTAAAAGTTTTGGCAAAGTTTCCATGGTATTCACCAAACAACACTAAAGTGCGTAAGTTCTGAACTTTCAATCTTTTACCTAGTGCACTCCTATGTTTTAAAGGCGTCCCTAAGGCGACGCCTAGGCGTCGAAGCGCTCCCCCTCCGCTTTGGAAAATCGACCGCTTTGGGCGCCTAGGCGTCCAAAGCGCCCGCCTAGGCGTCGCCTAGGCGCCAAAGCGCCCCCCCTCCCTAAGGCGGTAAGGCGTCGCCTTAAAAACATAGGTGCACTCAAATAACTGTTGTATTCTTTAAAAGTGATTATATCTTTGACATCGGTATTTTCTACAATAATGGACAAGTGACGTACAGATGCAGGAATTTGTATGGACCTCACATTAGAACTATATATGCAAAGGCATTCATATGATGAAACCTTCACTGCCAAGTCATGCAGTAGGTCATGAATAACATAACGAGGACCATTTTCTTTCTCATTCTTTCTAAAGAATCCATGATTTACCAAGTCATCTAAATAGCACAGTGCAACACCTTCTGTTCTTTTGGCCTTATCATGTGACCTTATAATGCCTAGTCCTATCCAGAAGTGAGTCAACTCTTTGCTACCAAATTCATAATCTTCTGGAAACAATGCACAATAGGAAAAACATTGTTGTAGATGAAAAGGGAGATAATCATAGCTAAGCTTTAGGGCAGGCATAATGTCAATGTCGTTGGTCTGTAATTCCCATTCTCTACTTTCTGCAACTCTTGTCCAGTGGTCCAAGGTAAGCTGGTTTCTTAGTAACCTACCAACTGTTTTTGCTGCAAGAGGGAAACCCTTCAATTTTGTTACTATTCTATTCCCAACATCACGTAATTCAGGATGGTCTTCCCATGGTCGTTGGTCACCAAATACACATACTTCGAAGAAAGACATAGTATCCTCATGACTTAAACGTTCCACGTTGATTGAAGAATTAGTTGTGGTGACCATACTTGCTACCTTTGGAATTCGTGTAGTGACTATAACCACATTACCCTTTTCTCCATCATTATGTTTCAATGGAGCTAATAGTTTTTTCCACTCATCCTCATGATATGTCCACACATCATCTAAAACAAGCAACAACCGCTTAGATTTTAATCTTTGTTCAATTAACTCTTGGTTGCTAGCATTATCCTTTTCACCGTTCACTTTAGGGATCTTGTTCACAATCTCTTGTATCAACCTATCTGCATTAAAATCGAGAGAGACACATATCCAAACTGAAACTTGGAAAGAACTCTCGAGTTCTCTAAATATGTGTTGTGTGAGTGTTGTCTTCCCAATACCACCCGGACCAACAAGTGGAACCACAGTAAGTTCATCTGTACAATACTTACCATGTGTAATATCATCCACGATGCTCTTTTTCTGGCCATCCCTCCCATATAACTCAGACTCTACAATATTTGGGGTGGTTTTGGGTCTGTTCATAGTACTGTCTTGGTTAGAGGTACGACTAGAACCCAATAGCTCTAGACTGAGGATGGTGGAGACCTTTCCACATAGGGCTTTCAGCTGCTCCACTATTTCTATCATCTTATGGGACATCCCCACCCTATCAAATTCCTTTTTTGGAGTTTGCACTACATGATTTCTCTGTACTGCCTTGGACTGCCAGGCGCCACAAAGGAACCGTCGTTCCAACATGGTATCGTCATCGTGGTCGACGGACGGGAAAGAGTAGCATGTGAGATTCTTACCGATAATGTGGGCAGAGCTGCGAGCACGAGAAATAACCTTGGAAATGCATCCACCATTGTTGGTGGGTGACGCTGGTGGGGAGCTGATTTGATGCCTGCCACGAGTGCGGATGCTAAACAGGCATCCTTGTTTCCCCCCACCTTCTGCTTCGTCGCCGGGATCGCCACGGCTAGCACTAGCACCAGGCGAACATGGTGAGAGCCTGAGCTTATGAGCGGTGGCCCTGGCAGTGTGCCGAGCATTGAGGACGAGGCCATCAATGCAGCCCTGTGCATCCAAGTCGGCGGTGGCGTGGTAAGTGCCTTCGAGCGCGTCCTGGATGCGGAAGTAGTCAAGCTCGTCAAGCACGTCGTCAGCCCTGTACGCGAGCTCCCGGAGCTTGTGTAGAAGCTCCTTGAGCGCGGGGCTTCGAAATTCCCTGCCCTGCGTGTTGTCGAGCATCCCCTGAGCGTAGAGGAGCTCCATCTTGAGGGCGTCGATGTTGTGGCCAAGCCCGGCGCTGGCCGCCCATGGCTCCAGCAGGCCGTCCGTGACCGGGGCCAGAGCCTTGCCCAACACCCAGAGCGCAGCGTCCACGGCGAAGTCCATCGCAACGCCAGCTGGAACCATTTCGAGATGCAGATGTTAGTTGTTGTTGCGAAAGTTTGGGGACAAGCTTGAAAAAGTATGTACATACTACTTACGAATGTGAATCCGGTGTGTGGCTCCCTGCAGCGAAGACGATGATCAAGCTGCGACGGAAGACAATGATCGAGAATGCGAATCCGGCGTGGCTCTCTCAATACTGTTTTTGCCGGCGCTGGTTGCGTGGAGAGGGTATATGTAGGCGCGCGCAGGGAAGAGGTCGTGGGAAGAGAGGCAGGGATCAATCGTTAGCTGTTGGTGGAGTGTTCCTTTCCTTCATTTGATTCTTTATAAGCTGCCGGTGGAGTTTTCCTTTATTTGATTCTTATTCTTTTCCTTTCTGGACACCAAGGCATCACAAATTCTAAAGCAACGGCAAGCACAAGCACCAAACCCACACTTGTTTCATAGGCATCGCATCGTCTACTCTTGTTTCTTTTCTTTATTTTTTATTTTGCTATAAAACATTCATCTGGATTTTTTTCTAAAGGGTATGTCACTGTGCTAATCAACCTACAACTTTTTTTATCCAGTGCATTAATAGTTTCTCCATCTAGTACAGAAAGAGTATTTATAGGTGAGAGGTCATCATTGTCTACGGACCGGCCGACCATAGTAGGTCTGCTTCCTTCCTCGAGGAGATCCACCGGAAAATTTCGGCCGCTTCTCCGGGGGCAATTCTTTCTGAGCATGGAACTCTTCGAACGGTCGCTTAATTTTAAGTGGGAGGTCATCATTGTCTACGGACCGGCCGACCATAGTAGGTCTGCTTCCTTCCTCAAGGAGATCCACCGGAAAATTTAGGCAGCTTCTCTTCCGGTGGTCGTTGGAGGCGATTTCAATCTCCTCCGTTTCGCGGAGGACAAGAGCAACGCGAACGTTAACTTTGCATGGATGCAAATGTTTAATGATTTCATTGCCGATCTCGGCCTCCGCGAGATTGATAGAATTGGTGCCAGGTTTACCTGGACCAATCGTCAGGCCTCCCCAACCCAGTCCGTGCTGGACAAGGTTCTAGTTTCCCCGAAATGGGACCTCCGTTGCCATCTTGCCTCCCTTCGTGCCATCACCAGGATCGGCTCCGACCACGTGCCCCTCCTCCTCTCCTTCGCCGATTCCCCATCGATTCCGCTTTGAGACATTTTGGCTGTCCCAAATCGGTTTTGTGGAGGCTGTTGGCACCCGCTGGGTGGAAGCCCGTGGTCACCCCCACCCTCGTCCCCCCTCGGCCATTGATTGTTGGCATTTTTGTGCCAAGCGTGGCCGACAGTTCATGAAGGGATGGGGCGCTAACTTGGGGCGTGACCTCCGCGAGCGTAAGAAGGCCTTGTTGGCCGCCATCCAAGCCCTAGATCTTCGTGCTGATTCCAGCGGCCTCTCTCCGGATGAGTGGCTCTCTCACTACGACTTAGAAGACCAGCTCTCCGTCATCTACTCTGATGAGGAGGCGTATTGGCGCCTCCGCGGGGCCCAAAAATGGGTCTTGAAAGGCGACGCGAACACGGCCTACTTTCGGCCATCGCGAACGGCCGGCGTAGGCGCAACACCATCCCCCTCCTCTGGGATGGTGTCTCCCTCCTGCAGGACCCCCGTGACATTCGTAGCCATGTCGACGGTTTCTATAGATCCCTGTTCTCTGCTGCTCCTAGGAGCGGCCTCTCCCTGGCTCCTGATTGCTGGACCGACGCCCAGCTGGTTTCGGATGAGGAGAATGCGGCCCTCACGGCCCCTTTCTCCGAGGGCGAGGTTTGGGCTGCCATTCGAGGCATGAACCCCACCTCCGCTCCGGGTCCCGACGGCCTTCCGGTGAAATTCTTCCAGGCCTTCTGGAATGTGATTAAACTTGAGATCATGGCCATCTTCAAGGAGTTCTATGTTGGGTCCATTGACCTCGGGCGCCTCAACTATGGAATCATTTCGCTCATCCCGAAGGTTCCGGGTGCCTCTGACATCCGCCAGTTTCGTCCAATCACGGTCATCAACGTGATCTTCCGGATTCTGGCTAAAGGGTACGCCAATAGGGTGACCCTCCTCGCTGACCACATTACCCACCCCAACCAGTCCGCCTTCATTCAGGGGCGGTATATCCTGGATGGGGTGCTAGTTCTTCATGAAGTACTCCATGAGGTCCGATCTAAACACCTCAAGGTGGTTTTCTTGAAGATTGATTTCCATAAGGCCTATGACACTGTTAGTTGGCCCTTCCTTCGGGAAGTTTTGCTCCGAAAGGGCTTTGACGACCGCTGGATTACCAGGGTTATGCAGATGGTCTCTTGCGGTCGCACTGCCGTGAACATTAATGGGGAGATTGGCCCCTACTTCCCCACACTGTGGGGTTAGACAAGGCGATCCCTTCTCCCCTTTCCTGTTCAATATGGTGGTGGACGCGCTTGCCGCCATCCTGGACAAAGCGAAGGCTGCTGACCACATTCGCGGGATCACACACCACCTGGCTGGCGGCTCTGGGATTTCCCTCCTCCAGTACGCCGATGACACCATCATCATGATCGAAGGCTTTGAGTTGGACATCCCCAATCTTAAGTTCCTTCTTCTCTGCTTCCAACAAATGTCTGGCCTTAAGATGAACTTCGACAAGAGTGATGTGATGGTGATGGGATACTCTGAGGCCGAGTCCCTTGCCATCGCTAACCGGCTCAACTGCCGCCTTGGTTCATTCCCCACGACCTACTTGGGAAGGCCTATTAGCGACTCTCGGCTCACCTCGCAGATCTACGCCTGACCGTGACCAAGCTTCAGACACGCATCGAACCTTGGCAGGGTAGATGGCTGTCTAAGGCGGCTCGGACCATTCTCATTAACTCATCCCTCTCCAGCCTCCTCCTGTTCCTCATGAGCTTCTACAGCCTCCATGAGACTCTGCACCATGAGATCACCAAAATCCAGTCCCGCTTCTATTGGGCCGGCGACCACAATAAGCAGAAATATCATACGGTCAGCTGGCCTGACATTTGCAAGCCTAGGGAACAGGGCGGCCTCGGTATCATGTGTTCCAAGCTCATGAATATCGCCCTCCTGTCCCGATGGCTCTGGCGCATCTCGCAAGGCCATGGTGGCCTCTGGCTCGACATCATCCGGAATAAGTACTTGCGTGGACAGCCCCTTGCCTTTTGTCAGAGATCTGGCGGCTCGTAGTTCTGGCAATCGGTCGTCCAGCTTCTCCCTGTCCTTCGCATCAGGACTTCCATCTCGGTGGGGTCCGGCTCGGCAACTATGTTCTGGTTTGATCGGTGGGCCGGAGACCCCCCCTTTTGCCGCGCGCTTCCCCGACCTCTTCTCCATCGCGGTTGACCCCTTGATCTCAGTTGAGAGGGCCCTTATTGACTTAGGGCGCCTCGCTTTCCGGAGGCCTTTTGGCCCCCCGGAATCCTCCGCTTGGCGTGAGTTGCTAGATTGCGTGGCTCTCCGTGAGCCTGTGGTGGACGGTGGCCCGGATCAGGTTAGATGGCGGCTCGAGCCTTCGGGCCAATTCTCCACCAAGTCGTTGTACCAGGCCATCGCCCCATCCTCCGCTCCTCCCCCCTAGCCACGGTGTGGTCCATCCGCCTACCTCTGAAAATCCGGATCTTCATGTGGCAGTGGATTCGCGGTCGGATCCCGTCTGGCGTTGAGGTTCGCAAACGCAATGGTCCGGGCTCTGGCCTTTGCCCGCTTTGCGCCACCCCCGAAGACTCGAATCACATCTTCTTTTCCTGTGTGTCCGCGCAATTCGTTTGGAGCTGTTTCCGCGAGGTGGTGGGTGGAAATTGGTGCCACGCCAACTTCCCCAACCTGTATACGGAGCTCCAGGCCTCCCCCCTGGCTTCTCGCCACATTAGGTGGCTTGAAATTGGGGTCATCGCTTGGACCCTCTGGACGATCCGTAATAAGCTCGTGATCCAGCGTGCTCCTCTACGACGGGCTACTGACGCTATCTTCAAACTGTCTGGTTTCTTGCAGCTCTGGCGGCCGCTTAGCCGCCCGGATGACCGCGACGCCATCTCTGCCTTCATCGCCGACCTCCGCTCGATGGTCGTCCGTCTCTCCCCACCGCCTCCGCCGGATCCCGACTAGACGCGTGTTTGGTCCCCTGGCGCCTCAGCTCTTTTCTTTTAGTCTTTTTTGGGCTTGTTGAGCTGTGACCTCAGCATAACCTTTGTACTTGATTGTGTGACTTGGGTGCGTGTGTTTGAACTAGTCCATGTATGTGTGCTCAGTGGCGGTTTGCTTTATTTATAAAGCGGGGCGAAAGCCTTTTTCGGTTATAGGTGAGAGATAAGTAACTAGTAACGGTTATCTAGTGAGATAGCTAAGAGGGTGAAACCCTCCCTCGAAACAGGCTCACGCCCCGCTTTATATATAAAGCAAATATCACAGTACACGGCCAGCCGATACAACGGAATGAGGAGGCCCTCTTACAAAGCAGATCCTAGGATAACCGGACAACACACACAAACACGAGAATGCTACCAAAAACTAATACAGGTAGGCCTGAAAACACGACACGACACGCACTAGGTCACCTAGGCTCCACGACAACGCCCTGAGGAGGGAGGACGACGCTAAGCGTCGCCGTTGCTTAGTCCAGGAAGGAGAGAGGTCTTCACCTCGAACCACAACGACGGCCTCAAGAGGTGAGCGGCGCCTGCAAGCATGGCCGACGCCGGCGCCAAAGCACGGAGTTTTCGCTCGGCAGCTCACCCATGCCACGATGAGGCACCCAGAACCACTGCGGCGAGCACAAGCCTCCAGTTTTGGATCTGGACATCACTACTGTCGAAGACAGGAAATGAGCCCAAGCCCCCAACCGCTACACCCCTTGCCGCCCACACAACCAAGAAGCATAGCCATCGCCGCCCCATGGTGCCCGCCGAAGAGCCAACCATATGGACCTCCACCCGGGCCGCCGACCCGGCATCCATTTCTCGAGATACCCGTCAATCGCCCCCGCCACAGCACACCAACCAAGGTCGAAGGAGCAGAGGCACTCCATCCACTCCTAGCCCGACATCAGCACACTCCACCGTAGGAAACGCCCACGCTGGCATCCCCAGCCAGTCCCAGTGGACCGAGGGGGACACGATCCAGTGACTGCCAACGGCCGCCATCAACCAAGCCCCGACCTAGGCGAGCTCACACGCATCCATGCCCATGGCCAACAGTGTCGATCCGTCCAACGGCATAACGGTCCCTCCCGAAGACGTCACGATCCCTCACCGATGCCATAACGTGAGGACGCCGCCCATCTAGCCCACAAGACCCCGCCTTGGCATGACCGGAGGTGGCCTAGAGCCGGCAAATCCAACTCCAAGGCGCCCGAGCTCGGAGCATGCACTAGGAACAGCCAGCCCCGGGTAGATTGGGATGCTGGCACCACACCACCCCTGGCCATGTTGCATTTGACAGCTGACTGGAAGCAACATATGACGGAAAAGCTGCAACCAGCAGATGACCCTGCTACAACCAATGGCCGGATTTATTGGAACTGTCGGCCCGAGATGCTGCAACAGGCTGTCGTCGTTGCTGCAACCGTGGTGTATAATTGCTAGAGCAAGCCGGCAGTAGAGTTGGAACCATGACCGCGAGATGCTACAACGAGCAATGGCGGTTGCTACTAGTGATGTCGAGACAAAGCTGCAACTTGCATCGAAAAAGCTGGGACCGGCCACGGGCACAGCTGCAACCAGCATCGACAAAAGCTGCAATGGTGGCGACTAGGGGCGAGCCCAGTGATACAACCGGCAATGCCGTTTGCTACGACCGATGTCAACAAATGCTGCAACCAGTCACGGTGCTGAAACACCCTAGGCAGCGGTCTGCAAACGATTACAACGGTGCTATGATCGCGGTCGGCGGGAGCTGGGACCGGCATGGCCGTGCCTCGGCGGCGAGGCTTGACAACCAAGGCCATGGCGGTGCCCTGGCAGCCATGGCGACACCCCTCGCGAGGAGCTCGACGACCATGGCCAAGGCGATGGGGCGTTGGAATGGCGTTGCAGGGATGGCGTGCTGCGTGAGCGATGCACGCCGGAGATTTCCTTTTCCCCCGCGAGATGTGTGAGAGGAGATATACGAAGATCCAACGACTAACCAATCGGTTGCTACGGGCTGAATCGGACGGCCGCGAGGTGACCGGCCAAAATTTGGCCCCGTCGACCGGGACCTAGCAGCCTCCTTCATGTTTACTTGCGGGCCATTCCCTTTTTAACTCCTTGCTGTTTTAACGACCACCAGCGTTTAATTCTGCAAGTGAATTTGGGCAACCACCGGATGGCTGCCCAGCCAGTCCTTGGATTACTCAACCTCAGACGCCATTGTAATTTGCAATAATGAACAGAGGAACAGAGCAATCCTTACCTGCAAGGCTACGAGGCCAGCTGTGCTTCCGACCCGCAGGAGCATTCCGTCGAACACCTCCCAGGCAGCATTTCGAGGCCACCGACGCACTGGAAAGCGAGGCGGAGGACCTGTAGAGCGGCTAGCCGACGCACTGGAAAGCGAGGCGGAACCGGTGGCGAGCAGGGAAGTTTGGGCTGAGCAGGAGGCAAGCGGTGTGGGGGGGGAGAGTGATGACGACGCGGGCGCCATTCGCGAGCGAGAAGGTCGAGCCGAGAGCCCGGGACACCAGCGTGAAAAGGCTATACACGCGAGGCTGGGAAAAATATTTTTCCAGTCTATTTTTATCTCATTTTTGTGGTTTTTCTAGGGCATATGCCTTGTTGATAAAACAATTTCATTTTAAAGTCTGTCACGTGATTTAAAGCTGTAAATAAAATATGTATATAATACATTATCTCCTTTTTTTGCAGGGGGCGTTATCTTCATTACTCCTTTGGATCCATATTAATTATCGCCGAATTAGTATAAAATTAGTACAAAGTTATTGTCAGGACTCTGCTTCTCTGCAATGCCTAACTGAAGAAGGAAACAGAAACTCTGAAGAAATCAACACCGCGCTCGAACCGTTATGCACTTGGGAAATGGACGACCCAGATGAAGCGTTCTGGCGATCAACGGCTACCCAGCTCTCCTGTTCACAGTCACGCCATTGCCGCCACCCACTGGACAGCTATAGTAACGGAACGGCACGCGACAGCGACTCTACCTGCTCCGCCAGCTATTAAGCCCCCTCTCCACGCCTCTGGAAGCATCTTTTCCCCATTCTACAAGATGTATTACCTAGCGTAGCTCTAGAACCCTAGCTATCCCTGTAGAATTCAGATCTGATCCTCGAACTGAGTTGTATTTGTCAATTATCTCTGTAATAGACAAAGCCGGGGCTAGTTCGAGTAGAATCGTGTGTTCAATTTGATTGTTGGTCTTGTCAATTGGTATCATGAGCCAGTGAATCCTCAGAGGCGAATCGGATCTGGCCACGCATTGGGGTTGGGATCTCTCGTAAAATCCCTCGATTCCGTGTCAGGTCCCGGCGGCGGTGTAGACACCAGATCAGAGGCGGCCTGGAGTAGGCATTGTTCGGCTGCAAATTGGGGAGAAACTCGGTTACGGTCGGAGCAATTCCACTGCAGTAAAATCCCGTAGCGTATCCCTGATTCGTGTAGCATCGAAGGCGAGCGAGGCGTGCAGTTCTTGAAGCAAGTGAGTGGTCACCGGCAAGGGTTCAGACAAGAGCTGCTGTAAAATTTCAGAGCTGTGGTGACCATCATGCCTACCAGAACGAAGCACATGGACGAGATCTCGGAAGAGCTCGAAGCCATGCAGACCGAGCTCTCGGCGTTGGGGCTGAAACAGGACAAGATGCAGGACCAAATCGACCAAGTTCACACGCGGTTACAGACAGTAGAATCTTTGGAAAAGCAATTGGGCAAGGTTGAGCTCCTAGTCGAGAATAATTCCAAAGTGCAGCAAGAAATTTTTTTCCATCTTGAGGGAGATGAAATCAGGAAAACCCAACCCTCCCTCCCCTGATTCCCCTGGAGTTATTACAATGGTCACTCAAACTGATCTTTCCAAACAGCCTCAACAGGAACAGGGGACACAAACAACCAATCTCCAGGGACAACAAGTGGTTCCCCCACTTGGACAGCCAAAACAACTGTTGCACAATCTGCCTGATAGAACAACACAGCCTCAAGCCAACAATTCCTTGCAGTATCAAACTGACAGAGCAGCACAGTTCATGAAGAGTATTTCTAAGGGACCCAAATTGGACTTTCCTACTTTCAATGGGGAAAATCCTTTAGGCTGGATTAGACAGGTCAACAAATATTTCCAACTTGCTCAAACTCCTGATGAATGCAAAGTAAATTTGGCCCTAACTTACATAATTGGACGAGCTGATAATTGGGTTAGAAGTGCTCAAATGGACAATCACAAACTGCCCTGGCCTGACTTTTGCAGAGCATTATGTGACAGATTGGCTAACTCTAGCATATATGAAATTTTAGAGAAATTTCATAATCTGAAACAGAGCACACTTTCTGTGGCTGCTTATACTGATAAGTTTGAAGAAATAATGGCAGTAGTCAGAGATGAACATCCCTACCTGCAGGAAAACTATTACATAGTGAGTTTTGTCAATGGATTGAAACCAAGCATAAGGTGCAATTTAAGGCCACAGAGACCTACTACTCTTAACCAAGCTTATTGGTTGGCAAGGGATTATGAGAGTGGGTTACAAGCAAAGTACCAGTCCTATCTCAACCACCAAGATAAACAACTGCAGTTTCAAGTTGGTCATCAGAAAACTAGTGCTCCTCCTCCTACCACTAATATGCAGTTACCTCCAGCAGCACCAGCAACCAAGAAACCAGGTGTATGTTGGAGATGCAATGGGCCATGGGTTCCTGGTCACAAATGCAAACAAGCACAAACTCTACATATTATCACTGGAGAAAGCAATACTGAAGAAATGTCTCCTGAAGAAGAAGCTCAACTTGCAGTTCTCACTGCTGAGGGTCATCTGACTGAACATCCAACTGGTTGCATGCACATCTCTGCACAAGCAGTTTCAGGAAACACTTCTGAGTCCACATTGGCTGTGCACATTACAATAGGAGGAAGAAATGGAGTGGCCTTAGTTGACACTGGGAGCACTAACACTTTTATTGACCTGAAGTTTGCACTCAAATCTGCTTGCCAGTTAATCACTAACCCAACACAAAAAGTGACAATAGCTGGTGGTGGATCCTTAACCACAGGAGCACATGCCCCTGAAACAACTTTCAAGATTGGCACGAAATATTCACTAATGATTTGGCAGTTCTGGATCTTCAGGGATATGATGTGGTCATAGGTTGTGATATGCTCAAGAAACACAACCCAATTTCCTTGGATTTTGATGCTAGAACAGTTACCATCACAAAGGACAAGATCAGACCGGTAACATTCTTAGACTGCACACTGTCAGATACTCCTAAACTCATTTCAGCAGAGAAACTAGATAAGTTGTGTGCTGAAGGAGCAGTAGGATTTGCCATGAGCTTGAAACTTCATGATAGCTCTTCCACAGAATGTGGTGCCATCCCCTCCACCCACAAAGGAAATACAAGCAGTACTGGAGCAGTATGATTCACTGTTTGAGGAACCTACTACTCTTCCCCCATTCAAAGAATGTGATCACTCCATCCCTCTTAAAGAGAATTCTACACCTCCTAATGTCAGACCTTACAGAGTTCCTCATCTGCAGAAAAATGAGATGGAACAACAGATCAAGATTTTGCTCTCCAGACACATAATCCAACATAGTGTGAGTCCTTATGCATCTCCTGCGATTTTGGTCAGGAAAAAAGGAGGAACTTGGAGGTTGTGCATAGATTACAGGAAACTAAATGCTCAAACCATAAAGAACAAATTCCCTATACCTGTCATAGAGGACTTACTGGATGAACTACATGGAGCAGCAATTTTCAGTAAATTGGATTTAAAGTCAGGTTATCACCAAATCAGGATGAAACAGGAGGATATTCATAAAACAGCTTTCAGGACTTATTCTGGCCACTATTAGTTTCTGGTCATGCCCTTTGGGCTCACTAATGCTCCAGCCACATTCCAAGCCCTCATGAACAAATTATTTGCTCCATATTTGAGAAAATTTGTACTAGTGTTCTTTGATGATATCCTCATATTCAGCAAAAATCTTGAAGAGCATCAACAACATCTCAAACTGGTCCTAGACATCTTAAAGGCCAACAAACTGTTATTGAACAGATCCAAATGCACTTTTGGCACACCAATAGTGGAATATCTTGGCCACATCTTATCTGCACAAGGAGTGGTAACTGATCCTGAGAAAATTCAAGTAGTGCAACAGTGGAGCACCCCAACCAATGTTGGAAATATGCCCTGGAGGCAATAATAAATTAGTTATTATTATATTATATTTCATTGTTCATGATAATCGTTTATTATCCATGCTAGAATTGTATTGATAGGAAACTCAGATACATGTGTGGATACATAGACAACACCATGTCCTAGTAAGCCTCTAGTTGATTAGCTCGTTGATCAATAGATGGTTACGGTTTCCTGACCATGGACATTGGATGTCGTTGATAACGGGATCACATCATTAGGAGAATGATGTGATGGACAAGACCCAATCCTAAGCCTAGCACAAGATCGTGTAGTTCGTATGCTAAAGCTTTTCTAATGTCAAGTATCATTTCCTTAGACCATGAGATTGTGCAACTCCCGGATATCATAGGAGTGCTTTGGGTGTGCCAAACGTCACAACATAACTGGGTGGCTATAAAGGTGCACTACGGGTATCTCCGAAAGTGTCTGTTGGGTTGGCACGAATCGAGACTGGGATTTGTCACTCCGTGTAAACGGAGAGGTATCTCTGGGCCCACTCGGTAGGACATCATCATAATGTGCACAATGTGACCAAGGAGTTGATCACGGGATGATGTGTTACGAAACGAGTAAAGAGACTTGCCGGTAACGAGATTGAACAAGGTATCGAGATACCGACGATCGAATCTCGGGCAAGTATCGTACCGATAGACAAAGGGAATTGTATACGGGATTGATTGAATCCTTGACATCATGGTTCATCCGATGAGATCATCGTGGAGCATGTGGGAGCCAACATGGGTATCCAGATTCCGTTATTGGTTATTGACCGGAGAGTTGTCTCGGCCATGTCTGCATGACTCCCAAACTCGTAGGGTCTACACACTTAAGGTTCGATGATGCTAGGGTTATAGGGAAAGTATGTACGTGGTTACCGAATGTTGTTCGGAGTCCCGGATGAGATCCCGGACGTCACGAGGAGTTCCGGAATGGTCCGGAGGTAAAGATTGATATATAGAAAGTATGGTTTTGGCCACCGGAAGTGTTCCGGGCATCATCGGTAGTGTACCGGGACCACCGGAGGGGTCCGGGGGTCCACCGGGAGGGGCCACGGGCCCCGGAGGCATACATGGGCCAAGTGTGAGAAGAGACCAGCCCCTAGGTGGGCTGGGGTGCCTCCCCACCAAGGCCCATGCGCCTAGAGAGAAGAGGGGGCAAACCCTAAGGGCAGATGGGCCCTAAGGCCCATGCCTGGTGCGCCTCCCTCTCCCCCCCACTTGGTCGCCACCCCAGATGGGGATTGGGGCTGCCGCCACCCCTAGGGTGGAAACCCTAGGTGGGGGCGCGGCCCTCCCTCTCCCCCTATATATAGTGGAGGCAAAGGGGCAGCCAACACACGAAGTTCTTCCCCTGTTGGCGCAACCCTACCCCCTCTTCCTCCTCGTCTCTCGTAGTGCTTGGCGAAGCCCTGCTGGAGTCCCGCGCTCCTCCACCACCACCACGCCGTCGTGCTGCTACTGGACGGAGTCTTTCCCAACCTCTCCTTCTCCCCTTGCTGGATCAAGGCGTAGGAGACGTCACCGGGCTGCAAGTGTGTTGAACGTGGAGGCGCCGTGGTTCGGTGCTTAGATCGGAATCAACCGCGATCTGAATCGCTACGAGTACGACTCCTTCATCCGCGTTCTTGCAACGCTTCCGCTTAGCGATCTACAAGGGTATGTAGATGCACTCCCCTTCCCCTCGTTGCTAGATTACTCCATAGATTGATCTTGGTGATGCGTAGAAAATTTTAAATTTCTGCTACGATCCCCAACAGTGGTATCAGAGCTAGGTCTATGCGTAGTTTCTATGCACGAGTAGAACACAA